CTGTTGCTACCCCACGACTGTCAGTAGTCAGACTGAGAAGTGCCCTCTACCAAGTACCAAGGGCCGGGTACTCCTCAGAGGCCCTCCATCTGCCTGAGGTAGCTGCCTGCAGTGTAGTATCATGGTGAGCCATGGAAATGAGTCAGCCATTGTGGCAGCTTGTGAACCACCTTAACTCTACCTGCTGTCAGTTTCTAATCATAGAGTGAGGGCTCAGGGTCAGCGTGGGTGCATGGCATCAAGCCACATGGCTTAACTTCTGAGATAGCCATTGTAAGAGTCTGTAATCCAAAACATTTGGGAACCCCGCCTGGAGGTCAGTGGTTGATCCAGAACCATCTGTGGCCTCCCAGGAAGGGAGAGATGTGAGAAACAGCAGGTTATGTTTTTCCACTCTTCCACGGAGTACTAATGCCATTGCCATGACCAACCTGACTGTCCTGTGGTATGTAGCACCAAATCCTTCCACTGGCAAGACCCTGAACTGGTGTTTTCAGCCAGATCACAAAAGCTTGAACAGTCATTTCTTACTGATGTAAAGCGAGAAACTCCATAAATGCTTTTTAAAATGTTGAAACCTGCCAAGCCACAGCAGTATAGACTTTTCCTTTCTTGGGATTTGAATAAAGGAAGATTCTTCTCAGTGAATATATATATATATATATAATATATATATTATATATATTTTATATATATATATATAATTAGTCAAGTAGTAATATTTAGTAACCTGCTCTTCCAGTCTGTTCACCGTCTGTACACCATACTCAGCCCCTCCTATATCACACACAATACTTTTTCTCACATTTCCACCTTCTCTGTCTATCAGAATCCTCAGGCCTTCTCAAATCGTAGCTCTTCTAGCATCTCCTGACTTTTACTTGTCTCTTTCTCATTGGCTCTTACCTAAGGACAGGGATGGAAACAATAAGTTTCCACATATGTATCTCTCGTCACACCTCAACTGTATTCTGAGAGGCTTAAGGACAGAGACTGTCTTAAAAATTTCCTGTCTTCCCTGTGGTTGCTGCTTCTCATAGAGTCAGTATACACTAACTTTAGTAGAGTCTTTTGGTAGGAACATGTGATTGACAGAGTGAGTAATTCAGGTAAGTGATAAAGGAATTTAGAGAAAGAGGGGATATTCCTGTGGTGGCTTGACTGATGAGGTCTTCCATAACCAGAAAGATTAGTTGGCTTTGGATAGATGGGACAACAGGAGAGAAGGCACGGATGTTGGTGTGAGCATGACAGTAAAATCAATTGTTTAAACAAGCACTCATGGCAGAAAACTGACTTTGCTGCCCAGGCCAACACTTTTCACCCATCCACCTTTGTCCTTTTGTCCTGTGGACCTTCCAACCAGTCAGCAGGATAAGAAGGTGGTAGAGGCCTTGCTGCCATTGACACATATCCATGTTGTCACTGCTTTGCCCTGACCACAGCCACTCTATTCTTGGATCTTCATTTGGCTACTTTATCTCTTTTGTAATTCCCAAAAATGGTCTTGGTGCTGCTTGCATCATGTTTGGCCCTGTCACCCAGTCTGCCCTTTGCTCACTGTGCCCTTTGATTTTGTTTGCTAATGGACTTTGGGCCCCATCACTGATCTGGTCTCTACAGTTTCTTCCTGGCCAGCTCCTCGCCAGGTCCCTATGCCACGATCTGGTGAGCTGAGAGCTGTTTGGTTGTAGCAGAGAGCCCTGGAGTCTGTGTGGGGAGGAAGAAGAGATCAGATCATGAGAGGTCTCAGATTCCCAGAGAGAAAGAGTTTGGGCTTGATCCTGTGAGCACTGGTGGTAGGTGGTAGGAAAGGGAAGGATGGGACAAATTCCAGAGGTCTTCTAAGGTGGAATCAGTGGTATCGGTGGATAATGGAATGGCCTTGGGCATCAGAGGAAAGGGCTGAATCACAGATTATGCTGAGGTTACTGAGCAGTTGAGAGAATAGTCATTGACAGATATAGGGAAGTCAAATGGGGAAGCTGCTTTCTCAGGGAAAGTTGTTTAGTCTGGGGCTTGTCCACAGGATGTGCACAGGGGTATGTGCAACTGTGGCATTAGAACTTAGGTGAGAGCTCAAGACCAGATGTGTAGATTCCAGATCAGCTACAGGTAGGGGAAGTTGTGGGAGTGGGCAGAGAGAGACACTAAGGACTGATGGCTGAGGCAGGCCATGGCTAGGGTGGGAGGAAGAGCCAGAGACAGGCAGTAAGAAAGGTAGGGGGAGAACCAGGAGCCTCCAGTGTCATGGCAGCCAGAGAAGGAAAACATAAAAGAGGGTGTCAGAAACTCAGGAAGGATGAGGGCTGACCAAAGGCCATCTACCTTGGTCAGAAAGGATCAGGGATTTTTGAGAATGTGTTTTCAGGAGTGAGGTGAATAAACGGGTCAGCACAATAGCAACCAAAGAAGCTAGTCAGGAAACAAACGCCAGATAAGGAAGGAGAAAAAATAGAAACTGGAGGAGAAAGCCAAATTGATTGAAGCTTTTTCCTCTAAGATTGAGAGGGTAAATCCAGGGGCCCAAGTGAGAGGGTGACGTTAGCAACTTGTTGCCCCCGGGGAATCCAGAGCCCAGGTCAGCAGTGAGACCCACCTGGGCTCAGATGCCAGCCCTGCCCCCTGCTGACCAGTGGCTTCACCTTGCCGAGCTTCTGTTTCCTCGTTTGTAAGATGGGTATGATAGCACTTATTTCATAGGTTCAGTATGCTGATTTTAAAAAAAAAACAGCATGTGAGATGATTTATAGGATACTTGGCATGTATAAGAGTTCAGTAGATATAGCTGCTATTATTGTGGCTATTTTTATTTTAATATTATCAGCTAGATCAGTTGTACAAATAGCAAAAGACATAATGTACACAAAGGTCACACAAGCACACCTGAATGTCAGTAGGACATCAGTGGATAAGTGGGTAAAAGGTGTGCCTAGATAAATTCCACATAAGGAAATACATGTGATAAACACCACATAACATTAAGACTTGGTAACAATAAAGTCTTAAAATATGAACTATTATTTGATACTCAGAGGAAAATATGACAATATTGTCAAAATTATAGTAAGTTGAGTTGAACGTTGTATTAGTCAAAGTAAACTAGTTTATACTCTGGTAACTAATTACCTCTAAACCTGCACATCTTAAAACCACAAACGTTTATTCCTCACTCATGCTACGTGTTTATTTCAGTGGGCAGGAGGGCTCTGCTGATTGTCGTCCCACTAGGACCCCAGCTGATGGAGGTGGCATCTCAACACCTGCTTCTGTGGTCACCACCGAGCCAGGAAGAGCAATGTCACACCTCACACACTGGCTCTTAAAGGCTGCTACTGGAAATGGCACTTGGTTGTTTCCTTTTCCATTTCATTGGTTTGGGTGTCCGAGGGAGCAAACACAGTCATGAGTGCTTAGTTTCTGTTTCTGGTTGGGCCAGTAAAGCCCCTTCTTCATCACTCTTTTTCGCTTATCACTAGAGACAGAAACTACAAACCATGACTTCACGCTGCTAAAAACCTGAAACAAAAGAAACAGAACAATAACAACAAAATAAGGCAGGTTGGACAAGCTTGAGAGCTTGCCCAGCCCATAGCCCACAGACTGCACGTGGCCTGGGACAGCTTTGATTGCAGCCCAACACAAATTCGTAAACTTTCTTAAAATATTATGAGATTTTTTGTGTGATTTTCTTTTAGCCCATCAGCTGTCATTAGTGTTAGTGGATTTTATGTATGGCCCAAGACAATTCTTCGTCCACTGTGGCCCAGGGAAGCCAAAAGATTAGACACCCCTGGTTTAAAGCAAGGCTCATGCCCATGCCTAACTTGAGAAGCAGCACACACTCACCTGTGTCCAGAGAAGAGGAGAATAATCATGGCCACAGGCAGCAGCCTGTGTCACGTGGACCTCTTTCCTTCTGTCCTTCACTCCATCTCTTCTTGCCATTCAGTGCCTCTGCCTTACTGCAGGATGTCATCAGCTTTCACTTGGAAGAATGCAATAGCTTTTCCTCCATTCTCTACCCTTTCTAATTGATCTTGCAGGCCACCAACTTACTTTCCTAAAGCACAAATTGATCATGCCATGCCCCTGCTTTAAACCAAGTGACTCCTCACTGTCTGTAGGGCGAGGTCCAGCATCAGCCCTCACTCCTTCTTCCCCACATTCCTTGTGTTCTAGACACATCAGATCTCTCCACATTTTCTCATACTGTGTGTTCTCTCTTGCCTATGTCTTACACTTGCAATGCCTTCTAGCTGGAATCCCTTCATACCTCTCACAGCCTCTTTATTTGAGAGAACATAATCACCTGCTCTCTGATGAATACTTCCTTGACATTTGTGGTTCTCTTCTCTGTTGTCTGATAGCATCTGGTGTGGCCTTGGGATCTAGGACCCAGCAGAGAGGTGAAGGGGCAGGACGGGAAGCCCTTCCAGAGGGGAACAGGCACAGGGACTCCTCAGCCGTGAGTCCAGGAGAAAGCAAAACTGGTTTCTGACTATTGAGACACTCACAGGTCCCCTAGAGTTTGGAGACAAATTGGTGATTGGCACACAGAAAACTAAGCTGATGAGGAAATGACAAAAGTGATAACTTGAGGGAAAATAATTTTCACAAAAAAGAATACAACATATGACTTCTTTGTGGCTAATATTTCCATAATTATAATTTTATAAACACCGAAAATTAATTTAACCATAAGTGTTGCTGTAACAGTGTTGAAAAGAATGGGGGAGGAGAAAATGTATGTCTTAGGGGAGATGTAAGAGAGCTGGCAACTTCCAGAGTAGGAGGTTGAATAGGTGCTATTGAAAACTGAAATTGAAGAACCGGCATAAGCAGGATAATCATGGCATTAAGAAATAGAGACAAGTGTGGGGTGGTAGGGACGACTAAAGGAGTTCAGAATAGTCATCTCTCAGGGCAGGAGTCAGGAGACAGATGAGGCGTCCTGTTGGACTTTTTAAACAGAAGTTGAAAACACATGAAAAAAAAGTCAAGAAAGGTAAAAACAAAATACGTAAAGATATTTTGCTGACATTGCTTATTATAGTAAAAATTGGGAATAGCAGTATCCAACCATGGAGGCAGCAGCAATATAATGCAGGGGAAAGAAAGAGAGCTGTCAGGTTAGACACACACAGAGTTCAAAGGCAGGGTCCGCCCTGCAGTAGACTGTTGGACACTCAGTTTCTGTCAGTAAAGGGGGTCCTAATAATAAGAATCACTGTAAGGGACAAACTGAATTATGTAACATGCCCATAGAAGGGGATAAATGAATGTTTGCTCCCTCCCTTAACTACAGCTAATAAACAGGATAGAATTTTATGCAGACATTCAGAACTTAGCATACTAATTATCTATAAAAATAGAGAATAAGTGAAAAAAGCAGAAGACAATTATATATCTCTGTCTGAGCACCATTGTTGTAACTATGTAAATACTCTGCTTTCAGATAGATACAGACAAAAAGGAAACAAAAATGAGAATATTTTTGTAAGGCTTGTGAGGATACGGGTGATTTTTAAGCTTCTCATTTCTTATAGCTATTTTGAACTGATATGAAATTAAGAGGACTCTGAATATTCATTTCACCCTTCATAGTTTTGAAAGCCGTTATCTTGTTCAGTCCTAATAATAAGTATAAGCAGTGACACCAGCACTGTCCTTTGCATTTGTCCTTTATACATAAAGAGAGATGGACTTCGCTTTAGTAGGACTTTCTAGAACATGCTTATCTGCATGGTTTTTGTGGTGCTCTCTCACTTTGTGGACAAGATGAAGGTCTGGTGCCTAAGCTGGCTTTTCTCAAGGATGGAGTTGTTGACCATCTGAGAAAATGTTTTCCTGTGCCCACATGCCATAGGGGAGGGCTGCCATTTCAACAGGGCTAACCCACAGCCGTCAACAATAGCTTCTATCAGCTTTTTGTAACTGTGTTCCTCTGATGGAAAGCTCCAGGGCAGCTACATCATTTCCTTCCTCTTTTGTGCTCAAGGCTCACCCTGCTCAAGAAGCCCTGGCTGCATTTCCCAGAAGTTCTTTCATCAGCCAATAGAACCTATGACCTTGTACCATCCTTCATGTTGCCCTTGCTGTCGGTAGGCTCTTGTTTATCCTTCCATCTTTTCTTTGTGAAATATCACTCAGAGATTTGTCCATAGGAGTGATGAAAGAGCTTCCTCCATTTATGTCTTGACTGCTTAGTATTCCATAAACAAATGTAGTTTGTTTAACCAGTCTCCTAGAGGTTTCCTTTATTTGTAAACTTTTGCTTTCACAATGTTGCATTGAATGCTTCTGTATTTTCATCACGATGTGTGTGATGCGCACCTGTCAGTGTAGGATAAACTCCTAGAAGTGGAACTGCTGGGTCAAAGGGGATGTGCATGGAAAATTTTGTTAGCTGTTGCCCTCAAGCCTCTCCACACCAGCACTGTGAACACATTTCCCCAAAACCTTGGCAACATAAGGAGTTCTTCTACTTTTTGATATTTGCCAATCTGGTAGGTGAAAAATGTTTTCTCACTGTGGTTTTAATTAGTCTTTCTTTGATTAAAGAAACTGTGTATCTTTTTATATTTTAGAACTTTTGATTTCCTTTTCTGTTCACTGCCTGTTGGTAGCCTCTGACCATTTTTCTGATGGTCATTGGTCTTTTTCCTAATCATTTGAGAGAGCTCTTTATGTACTAGGGAAATTGGCCCTTTGTGATATGAATTGCAAATATTTGTTCTCAGTTTGTCATTTGTCTTTTGACTTTGCCCATAGTGGTATTTGCCATGCATAATTTTTTTAATGTTTGCATAATTAAATTTTTCTATTGTTTCTTTTGTGGCTTCTGGGATTTCTGGTTTCCTTAGAAAGGTCTTCTTCACTGCAAGATCATTTTTAAAAACCTAGAATTTCTTCTAGCATATGAGTGATTTCATTTTTATTTTGAAATGTTTGATCCCTCCAGAATTTATCCTAGTGTGAAGTGTGGCTCCAACATAATTTTTTTCAAGATGGCTGTGCTTTGTCCAACACTATTTATTAAACAATCCATCTTTACCCTATTATTCCAATGCCACCTTTTTCACCAACTACATTTCCTGGATGTAGTTAGATATATTTCCAGTCTTTTGTGTTCCGTTGATGATCATGAACACGTACCATCAGCAGATTGCAGCTTTGTGCTATGTTTTGCTGTGGGCAGTGGGGCGGTGCTCATACCCCAGGATTGCTTGTTTTCATACTTTTCTTGGCTATTATAGCTGGTTCATTTTTCCAAATGAACTTTGGAATGCTTAATTCCAAATATAAAAATCTTACTATTTTTATTGTGTATCTGTTAAGTTTATAGGTAACTTACGGAAAATTGACATGTTTGTGATGCCAAGTTTTCCAATGCGAGTTCATTTATTCAAGTCTTTTGAGCCTGAAAGAGCATTATGAAGTTTTCTTATCTCCTTTTCTTGATTGTGAACTCCCTGGGAGCAAGAATGGAGTCAAGTTTTGAGTATGGCCAATTAGTAATGATCTATATAATTACCGACAAAAGAAACATAATTTTCATTAAATATTTTTGAACCTATTCCTAACGTCATTGCTTGCCATTTTGTGAGTTGTTTTCTGCACATCAGAGAAAGGCAAGATGTAATACAAATGCTGATGTCAAATGTCAGCATTTTAATCCTTAAAGTCATCTCTTGATTGGTGTGTTCTTTATATATTTTTAATAAAAAATTGTATTTACTTAGAAGCTTCAGAATGTCAACAAAATAGCTGCAACCTTTTTTTTTTTTTTTTTTTTTTTTGCAATTACAGAGTGGTATTCACTTTACAGAACAACAATCATTTCATATAAGCTGCATCACAGACAACTGAAGATGAAAAAACTGTCATCCCCATATATAACTAATTTGTGCTGTGCACTAACAAGAACCTGCTTTTAATTTCCATGCCAGTTTACAACCCCCATACTGTACTAGGCAAGGTTAGTGGCTATTGAAAATACCACCAGGACAGGGATATCTAAAGACATATTTGATAGTGTGTTAACTATACAAAAAAAAAAGACACTGTACAGTTTAAAAACAAATCTTACACAGCCTTACATTTCAATTTTTTTCTTTAAAAGGAATGAGTTAAATGCTTTATAGACAAGAAAAAAAACTATGCTAGAACCAACATATTCATCGTCATCTTCATCTTCCTCCTCCTCCTCATTCTCATCCCCTTCATCTTCCTCATCTTCCTTCTCTTCCTTCTTTTTCTTGCTTTTTTCAGCCTTGACAACTCCCTTTTTTGCTACAGCAGGCTTTCCTTTAGCTCAAAATGCAGCAATATCCTTTTCTTATTTTTCCTTCAGCTTCACAGCTTTCTTTTCATAAGGCTGCTTGTCATATGAAAGACATATTATCGTATTGTCATAAGACAGCAGTGTTATTCCACAACCCTCCCAGTTTCTTTGCAACATCATTAGTGGACAGGCCAGGATGTTCTCCTTTGATATTTGGGCGATACTCAGAACAGAACAGAACAGAACAGAACAGAACAGAACAGAACAGGAAGAAGGCCAAAGGAGGCCTCTTGGGTGCATTGGGATCCTTGAACTTTTTTTTTTTTCTTTTGAGATGGAGTTTCACTCTTGTTGCCCCAGCTGGAGTGCAATGGCGCAATCTTGGCTCACTGCAACCTCTGCCTCCCAGGTTCAAGCGATTCTCTTGCCTCGGCCTCCCAAGTAGCTGGTATTACAGGCACCCGCCACCATGCCTGGCTAATTTTTTTTTGTATTTTTAGTAGAGACGAGGTTTCACTGTCTTGGCCAGACTGGTCTCGAACTCCTGACCTTAGGTGATCCACCCGCCTCGGCCTCCCAATGTGCTGAGATTACAGGCATGAGCCACCGCACCCGGCCTGAACATCTTTTTTTGTCTCCCATTTAGGAGAGATACAGGTTTTCATTTCTCTTTCATAATGGGCCTTGTCCGCCTTTGCCGTATCTTCAAATTTTCCTTTCTCTTTAGCAGACATGGTCTTCTACCTCTCTGAGCACTTTTTAGCAAACTGAGGAGTTGACTGAAGCATCTGGGTGTTTGTTCTTATGTGCCTCCCTACAAGTTTGCACAAAAAATGTATATGATGGCATTTTCTGTCTTGGCTTCTTAGGGTCTCCTTTGCCCATGTTTAGTTATTTTCCCTCAGCAAGGCACAGAGTTGCCCAGTGCCCATCCGGAGCTATCACTTGCCCCGGTGCTATCTCTGTGGAGCTCAGTGTACTGCAGTGGCTGTGATATCAGGAGCCAGGTGCAGCCTCCTCATTCTCTCTGCTCTATACCATTGCTGTCCAGCCAGTGCAGCTCCTGTTCGATAAGTGTGTTCTTAAAAGAGCATTCTGTGTAGATAATCCAGGGGCTTCACATTTAGATATTTGAGTTTTTCTTCACTAGGAATAGTGGCAAATATAATGTGATTTTCCAGCTCTAATCTTCCCTCCTCCATAACCCTGGCACAGATTTTGAGGTAGCCTTGGCCTGGGAAGGAGCCAAAAGGCAATACTGGGTTGGACAAAGAACAGTCCATTGGCATCTATGTGCATGTCCTCCAGACAGGAGAGAGGTGACCAAGCAGATGGGGACAAGACACGGGTGTTCTGTGTTCTGAGCGTCAGCGTGCGTCCTGTTTGGTTAGCACAAAGTGAGTCTGGGAACTTTGCACTTAGCACCTTGGCAGCCCAGGTCTGGGAACTGTGGTGCCTTCTCCTACAGTTAGGTCACTAATCTTCGACTGGCTGTTTGCAGGACCAGTTCTCTAATGGGTGGCATTTGTCAAGTGGAACCCTGGAGCTTCTTAATAAACTGCCTCCCCACTTAACGCATGATGGCAAAACCAGGTTGAAATGCAACGTAAGGAGAGAGGACTGTGCTGTGGTCTGTGTAGGGAGGCGTGTGACTAGTTCCACCTGCTGTTTGTGGAACAGGAAGATAGTGGGATCAGATGCATTTAACATGTGGATACAGTTCTGAGGAGTTTTTAACTGGTTTTCTTTGAACATTAGAAAAGCACATTTATTTTCCCTTAGAGCAAAAAAGTACTGTTTCTTTTTAAGTGGTTTTATTGTAACTCATGGGGCTGTTCTCCCAACATTCATGTTTTATAGTTTGCACGATATGCACAAAGGTCATAGAGTGCCAGCCTGGCCCAGTGGCCTCCGTCCTGTATTTAGAAACCAGTTACAGGAACATAAGAGGATTGCTCTTTTGTTTCCTCAGGCCACTTTTGGTCATTTCAGGCAGAAACAGTCTCTGCATTGGAATTTTCCTGTACAGATCCTGCAATTCAGGAACAGAGCATTTAGCAACAACAGTGAAAATGTAATGTGTGACAGCTGTGGAGAAGAATTTGCCTCCAGTGAGGGGAAAAGGCTGTGTTCAAAGCGGATTTCTGATGAGCCTATTAATGGGTGTTTGGGAAGCTGAATATGTCGCTGCCATTTTGAGATAAAAGGCCCAAGGTGTTTGTTCCTGAAGCTAATGAGGAAGCCCTTTCCCAGCCTCAGCCTCGCCTCCCCAGCAGGACTGGTGAGATGTGCACGCAGGGTCTACTCCACATCTGGCCCTCCTGAAAAGAAGGGCTTCCAGTGGGGGCCGTATCCTAGTGGAGAAGGGTGAAGCCCAGTGGGGAGGGCTCACAAAAGACCTGCTGTTGACCTGCTGGCTTCAGGTCCACCGGGCTAGGGGTAGATAGGCCAGAAAAGAAACCAGAGGTGTCTGTGGTAGGAGCAGCAGGGGCCCTGGCTTCCAGGCCTGTGGAGCAGGGAGGCTCTGGCAGTTCAGGATCTGGGATAAGAACTGACAAAATGTTCTCCTAAACTCTGGCCCTTCCTGGCTTCCTTACCTTCCCTGTGTGCACACACAGGAAGGCCCAGAGCTCAGTTTGCAGAGTTGTGAAGCTGCCACAAAGCTTCACTCCCAGTGTTTCCCCCACCACTGATGCTTGTCCTTGTGGGTTTATTCTCATGCATGAAAGTAGGGTAAAAATGTGTCCCCAAATCAGACACCTGTCACCTCTTTAGAGGCACTTCCATCCTGTCTTGCTCTCACTGTCATTGCTGTCCTGGATCTCATTATCTTTGGGGAGATATTCAGTATGATTTTATTAACATCTTGGCCTCATCTTAGAAATAATTAAATGTGAATATTCAAATTAATTAGCCCCCAGATGTATCTTATGCAGAAAAAACTCCACTAACAAGAAGTCAGTTACAGTTGTGAAAAACATGCAAAATGAAAGAAATGGTTTTTTGTCAGACATGTGAAGACCACTGTAGAGAAGCTCCAACAAATTCAGTTATCAGTTTGAAGAAACATTATTTAATATAGAACATTTTGACAGTTGATCAGACAGGAGAAAATTGGCACACAGCTGTTATTTTAGCTTCTGGTTGGGGGAGTTGATGAGTCTTGAGTGTGATAAAGTAAGGAATGCTTTGGACTGAATCAGAGACCTGTCCTCTAATCCT